TATCAGGAACTGGAAAGATTGGTCGCCTCGAGTCATTTACTGAGATTGTGCGAACACAGAACACATTTTGCCAATTAAACCCCTAGTGCCGATCAACAAATTCATATGTGCCGTTAAACAACTACACAAAATGATAATTCCTTTATGTAATCCTGATTGTCAGATTTTCTCATGTAAACACAACCAGTGATTATGAGCTCCCAAAGCATAATGGCGCCCACAGAAATTCTATCATAAGTAGATAAAATAGTAAAAGAGACGGAAAGAGAGATACATACCACATTAGTAATCACATCAAAGGAATTGTCTTCAAAGGGAAGTTTGGGGTTCACATTCAAGTCTTGCACAACATACGCTGTCAAGACCTACAAAGTTCAACGAATGAGGGTATATTCATTGATTCAAAATGATAATGTAAGAAGATTCCCAAATAAGAACTGTGATGCAATTTCAATTGCAAGAAAAACAGTTTGTGTGAACATGTGTAGAATAAAAAATGAGCAAGTAATCATTGGTGCAGCACCTGCATATTTGATATGTCTACATTAAAAATCTGAGAAAGAAGTACCGGATTGCGCTTTAGCTCTTCTTCATTCATCCCCATTCCCACTATTCGCTCTTGCTTGTATCCCGGTGGAAAGTGACTGACCTAAATATACATATTAAAAACAGGATCATGACTCCAAAAACTTACAACTATGCAATGAGGATGACTCTTCGCACTACAACTTAAAGAGACTCACCCAACTGCTACACATGTCCAACATGCTTACTCCTGGAGTATTGCTAGGAGGAAACACTTTGAGTAGTACTTGGTCAGTGCCGCAATGGCGGGATCATCAATATGTGTCACAAAGCGTGGAGTCTCATAAAACACCGAATCCGATGACCTGATCAAATCAAGTTCTAGTTTTCAGAACTTATTAAGTTTAACACGAACTTAGGCTGAACTTATTAAGTTTTCTAGAACACCTAAAGGCAAAAAACACAACTTAGAGGTTTTCTTACTCATCAAAGCGCTGGAAATCCTCAGGCTTGAAGGGAAATTGCTCCGGCCATTCCACATTCTTCAGTATCTTTAATTTGACACAAAATGTGGGATTAGGCATGCCAAATAGAATTAACAAAAATCCCAACGTCAAGCAGCAGGTTAACTTTAAACATTCAGTATTTTTATATACATGGGTAATGCAGAACATTCTAATTGCAGGGTTTATGGAGACTTGAGATAACACTGCTATCCTGTGTCAATCATGCACTGTGTGCGTTTTAACTTTCTCACAAAGATTGGCTCAGAAAATTATGACATCTCGTTGCAGGGAAGTTATTCTCCGGTTTTCGCTATCCCAGTAGCTAACTGTTTCAGGTTTCTAGCTACACAAAATCACTCAATTTTCCATAACCCTAGAATCCGACATAACCGATGCAAATTTTCCTCTAAAAATCAAAACTTTAGATTCAATTCAGCAAAACAGATACATATTCCATAATCAAAATCCAAAGTTGAAGAAAACCCAGAAAGCAAATCAACAAAACAGCTAAAAGACCAAATCAAAATCCAAACTTTAGACAAAAATCCTACCTCTTCAAAAGAAGGGCCGCTCTTCAACCTTGCAGAAGCAGTGAAAGATTTCCCACCAACCGCACCAGACATGTTCATCAACTGGGCCCAAAACGAGACTCCAAGGCCCAAGATCAGACGGCGGGGAGCTCTCCCTCCACTTTTCCACTTGTTGTCAACCTTTGATGAAATGGGAACTGAGCCAGCAGCTCTAGCTCTAGGAACTAAATAAGAAGAAGAACAAGGACATATACCCGCCAAAATGGGTAACTGATGGACTCTGAGACCCATGCATTTGGCCATTTTTTTATAAAATCTGAGATGATATTAAGGAAAGAAAAAGTATTTCTTAAAGATTATGTGGAAATATTGGGTCTCATCTTTGCCAACATTTGTGGTGGACTTGGAGTTTACGTGGCTATCGCATGACAGTGTTCTAATAGAGCCCATGTTTTTATTTTGTTTTTAATTATTTCGAACATCTTGTGCGATGGCAAGTGCCTTCGCCTATGAGCGGTAGGTTTCGGGTTCGAGACTTGGGAGCAGCCTCTCCATAAATGGGGGTAAGGCTAGCCGACATTTACCTCTCCCAGACCCTGCGTAAAGCGGGAGCCTTGTGCACTGGGTACGACCTTTTTTTTAATTATTTCGAACATCTGGTTTTTCTTTACAGAAAAATCGAGGGTAAATCGACACATGACTTCAAATATAAAGATAAATGCTCTTCGTTACTTCACTTATAAAATAATTGGCTTGTAGATGATTTGGAAGCTTGAAAGAAGTTTTTCTGGTGTGGAATCAAGTTAATTGGTATTTTGAGTTTCAGATTTGGTTTCTCTCCACCATTATTTCTTTTTAGCACATCATCGCATTACTGTGCGATTCATCAACGTCAGAAATCAAATTCAAGATATGTTGTGTGAAATACGATTATGAAATTCATCTCCGACCACTAGACCACGGTGATTACAATAACAGTATTTTAAAACAATTATCATTTTTGTAACGCACTATATCTAGTTAAATTTCTCTATTAGCTTACTAATAATATATGGACTCAATCCAAATTTGGGCTTTTATGGCACATTCCTGCTTTTGATTGCAGGCTTTTTCCATTTTCCAAGTTTCTTCGTCTCTATGGCATTTCATTGTCATTTGCTTTACTAGGAAAAATAAATTAGAAATTAGTCACAGTTGAAAAGGTTAACTTGGATATATCTATCCTTGTCGAAGAAATTAAAAAGGGAGAAGTTTAAAGTGTATAAACAAGTAGTACAAAACTTTCTTTCTCTTAGTGAGAGACTTTGTACTTGTTTGGATGTACTTTTAAAATGATTAAAAGCGTTTTTGGTGAAAATATTTTTAGAACCAATCAATAGCAAAAATGCAAGTAAATTATGGAAAAGCACTTAAAGTATTTCCTGGAAGAAGCACATAACTGGTGCTTCTTGCAGAAAGTACTTTAAGTGCTTTTTGAAACCAAAAAATATTTTCTCTAAAAGCGCTTTTAGCCATTTTAAAAGTACACCAAACGAGTCATTTCTCTCTTATTGAGAGTACTTCTTACCGTTTTGTATGAGGTTTTCAATTTTGAGCAAATTTGGTGACGCCAACCCTAATTTCGATCAAGGATGGTTGCCATTCTTCCCTTTCTTTCCTTTTCTCCGCTTTTCCATCCTTCTACTGTTTTTCCCCTTCTTATCATCCGATTTGTTCTATTCTTCTTACCCCACTAGTATCCCCCTCCTTGTTCATCCATATTTTGATCTACAACCATGCATCCTCTTGAGATGGTAAGTAGAACTCCGGTGTTTCCAACATCATCACCTTCTTTATGTTGTCTGCCTTTACTAACAATGTTGCTTATGGGTTTCCATGAGCTTCATCTTGGTAACTGGCTTCTTTCGTTTGTTTGCCAGTTATCTTTAATTTGCGGTTGTGCTCGAAGAGCTGATCGGGGTTGGATGTTGCAATTGGCGACACGTTGAATGGTTGTGGGCTTGGAATTAGACGGATCGAGAAACAGTATTGGGGCGGCGATAGCGGTAGATTTTTCTGTTTTATGTAGCTTTGCTTTTGTTTTGGAGCCTCAGCTGTCGGCTGGCCTTTTGTTTGGCCCATTTTGGCTTGTTTATATATTTTAGCTTTGGGCATGTGGTTTGCTTAAGTTTGTGGTTTGTAATAAAAGTAACTTTTCACCAAAAAAAAAAAAAAAAAAAAAATACAGAAGTAGTACATATATGAAGAATTTCGTGAAACAGATTCACCACCACAATAGCGTCTGTATAGAAATGCAACATCATGTTTAAATTTAACTCAACTAACCCCTGATATTGGATAATTGGACCGAGACGCCATTTTAATAATAAACTTATTTCATGTAATTTTTTTTTCTTAGAGATATTTTGTTGAATGTAAGTTGCTCTCGAGCACAAAACTTTAAATCCCTAGTACAGGTTGGAAGAAGACGAAATATGGTGGGAAAAGGAGGAGCGTTGATTAGAAGGAAGGGTTCCAAAACAAGTGACAGCCAAAAAAATGGTACTTTGTGACTAGACATTTCCAAAATATGGGACAGAAAAGATAAACAAATGCTTTGCTAGCTTGCAGCAATTTAGTAGACAGAAAGTTCCAAGTGGGTAAGTGTCTATCAAATTTTATAACATTTTGAAGAAAAGCATATGATCCAATGATCCAAGTATAGATGCATGATTGCATGTGGGAATAGTTAGCTAGCTACTTGGCTTTTCACTTTTGCACTATGCATGCACCAAAATTATACCTACGATTCCATTTTAAAAGAGAGAAGCTCTTTTGAGTTTGAAAAATTCTCATGTAATTCAACAATTTTTCTTCAATAGTTTGGGACTACTAAGTAGTTCGGAAAACAAACTATGATGATTGACAAACAGTAAAGATTGTTTAAAAAGTCAAACTAATTGGTAGGTTAAACTACTGAAGATAAACTCATAAATGAGATTATTCATTTTTTATTTTTCTTGCTCATCAATTGATTATTGTCTCATGCATAACTTGATTCCTGTTGAATAACCTATGGAGTAAGGGATGAGTGTAATATGCATAAATTCGTATTTAATTTTTTTTCGCTCGTTAGTTGATCATAGTCTCACACACAACTTCAAATCTTCGATCCTTGTCAAGTTATGGGGTGAAACTACAATATCCCAAACTATTGTATACATAGATGAGGCAACGAGACAATCTCTTAAACTCTCGTACAAATCTCTTACTCCATGAGTAAGGTAATTTAGAATATCGGTTTTTGAAAAATAAAAAATAAAAGTTTTGTGGTTAATACGTCGCATTTAATTTGTTAATAATGTTTTTGTCTTTTTTGTTTTTAATAATGTTTTTGTCTTAAATACGTAGCAACATCCACTTCAAACCTCTATATAAACAACTCCCATTCCCTCCCTACCCCTCTCCCTTCACATTTCTAGGATCTCTCACTCTCCGAACCCAACCCACCAATCCCATCAACCGGGTCGACCCGCCCACCCCTCTCCCCGAAATGGACCGACCCAGATTCGTAATCGAAGCCTCCGAGGCCGAATCAATGGCCAAGCAGTCCAACCTCACCGTCCTCCAGCTCCTCCCCTCCCTCGTCAAGCCCGCCCAGGCCCTCGCCCGCCCGCCCATCTCCAAATTCCACGTCGGAGCCGTCGGTTACGGTTCATCGGGTCGGATCTTCCTCGGCGTCAACCTCGAGTTCCCGGGTCTCCCCCTCCACTACTCGGTCCACGCCGAGCAGTTCCTCGTCACCAACCTCTCAATCCAATCGGAATCAAAGCTCCAATATATCGCCGTCTCCGCCGCCCCCTGTGGCCATTGCCGCCAGTTCTTCCAAGAAATCCGCGGAGCCCAGGATATCCAGATCCTAATTACCTCGGTGGAATCCGGCGACGACAACTCCGGGTTAAACGGTTTCGACCCGCTTCTCCATTTACTCCCCCACCGATTCGGACCCGAAGACCTCCTGGGACAGGACGTGCCGTTGCTCTTAGAGCAGCACGAAAACGGCCTGTCGTTTTTTAGCGAAACCCAGAATTTAACCGGCGATTTTAAACTTAATGCGGAGTTAAAAGCCGCGGCTTTAGAGGCCGCGAATAAGTCACACGCGCCGTACAGCGGGTGCCCGTCGGGTGTGGCGATTTTGGACTCCGACGGGAAAATGTACAAAGGGTCGTACATGGAGTCCGCCGCCTATAATCCGAGCATGGGCCCGGCTCAGGCGGCGCTGGTGGCTTACATTGTCGGCGGTGGTGGCGGGTATGAGAAAATTGTGGTCGCGGTTTTGGTGGAAAAAGCTGACGTCTTGGTTAAGCAAGAGCACACGGCGAGGTTGCTATTTCAGGCAATCTCGCCCAAGATCGATTTTCGGGTTTTTCACTGCGATTCGGGTTCAAATTGTGTAAAAAGTCTTGATCTTTGATGATCATGAGTAACGCGATTGTTACGAAGTGTTGTTATTGGATGAATTATGAATCAATGAAGAATAAATAAGCATTGTCCTTGACGGAGAACGGGATGTCATTTTGTGATGTTTGAGTTTCTTATTTCTGTGTATTGGGTTAGGCTGTTCATAAAGAAATAAGCGTTGTCTTTGACGGTGAACGAAATGTCATTGTAGCAGTATTCTAATCTAATTATCCTAATCCAATTAAAGTATGTGATTCGAACCTAACCTCGTTGTAAGGAAGTTATTCTCCTGACGCCATGCAAATTGTAATCAATCCACTTTGTAAGTTTTTGTCACTGCCAATCTCAAAGTATATGAATCCTTGGACTTCTCTTTTTCTTATCAAATTGTTGCTCGTTTAACTTTTTCACATGACAGTGCGTGATGGATGGGCATCCCTATTGTCGGGAAGTTCTTTATCCTGCATGATGCCATGCAAATTGCAATCCATCCACGGTATTGCTTTTGTTATTCCTTGTCGAAATGTAATTTCTCAGTTCAGTACTTTGTGTCATGAAATTGGCTATTACGTTACTGTCATAGCCTAGTGGGATGTTTGCCATTTAGTGGCTGCCAAGTGCCGACTTTTTTCAGAAGCTAACATTTTGCAAGGAAAAAGCATTTTTTTTGTTAGTACAGTCAGCCAAACAGAGAAAAAGAACATAGATTACCATAAGCTTATGGATTGGATGGTGTAGATAGATAGCACCGGATTTAAATTGAATTAGTCAACTCCGCTTTGCAAATTTGATAGGAGTGTGGATATCTACTGAGGTGGATTTCCAATACATTCACCTTTAAAAAAAAAACAAAAATGAAATAGCAGATGATGTCTATCACAATGGTCGAGAGTAATGATGTCTATGTATTATGTTGTGGGTTCAATTCTCATTGATCTTTCTCCTTAACAACTAACCCACTAATGTTATCGTTTATCAAAAAATAAAAATTGGAACAACAAAGTTTACTAGTTTGATCTGTTTTGAATTGATGCCAAAGGCAAAGTTTTACTCATTACAAGTTACGATTTTGTTGTTTTTCGATCACCCAAAGGTACGGTACAAGGCGTTATTCGGCGGTGCATTCGGAGGTTTAACATTTCGGAGATTTCATCTGCCATGGTTGAGTAGTTGGATGGAAATGGGAAGAGGAGATATAGCCACATCTTGATGGGTGCAAAGTTGGAACCTAATATGTTTTCACAAAGTGCATTGGTTGCTTTACATTGTAAATATTGTGCCTTGGTTGCAAAGGAAACCATAGTCCAGAATGACACATTCTTCTACCTAGGGACCCAACCTTTGCACTAAAAATAGAGGCTGAAAAGTGGAGTTTTTCATAACCATTTTGTTTTTTTTTTCTTTGTGTTAGAGATAGAGCGGAACTATATGAGAAAAAAGACAAGTGAAGAAGGGTGGAGGGAGAATTGAAGGATAACGCATGAAACAAAAATTTGAAAGTGAAAACACTTAAAACTGTGTTTGACTAGTTTTTTTTTTTTTTTTTGGGTAGTATTTTCTTCTCTTTCTTTAACAAAAAGATGAAAACGAAACAACAAAAAAAAAGTTATCAAACAAGTGCTAAAGTTTGCCAAAATATGAAGAGGGTTCCAACCTGAGCATCCAATTCTCCTATCTGACCCTGCATTGGTATCATGACATAAAGGATCTTGCAATTTGGTTGAATTTAACATATTCTTTGTAGCTATATACAATCAAGCTTAGGATGGACGTGTGATTGAAGAGTTCAAGATGATGGAACAGATTCCAAAAGCAACTTGCCAAAACCAAGCATCCATACATCAACATATACACCATGTTTCCCGTCCACCAATGAAAAGATGCAGACATAGACAAATTGGTCTAACTCACATCTACGTTCGGAATCAACCTTTGAATATATGTTCTTCTCTCATCTTGGAAATTTGGAGAAAAAAAGGTGCGTTCTTATCTACCCATCAGTCCACTGACGATGTGGAAAAAAAGTTGGGAGTTAGTTGAGCCTTTTGAAGCCTTCTGTTTCCATCAATTCTCATAAAGGAAGAACCTGAATTTTCCTTTAATCTCCATGGAGCTTCTTGGCAGTTTCAGCTCCAATTGCATGTCACCATTTACATATGAATTTACAGACTTTGAGTCCTAGAGACACGTGTCAATGAACCCATAATTCACCGTCGAGAACAAGGAAAATTTGGGAAGAAAATAAGGAAAATGATTTCCACATTCCTGTTTTCTCCCTTGTTTATGTCCTTTGATTCTCTTTCGATTTTCTCAATCCAAGCAAAAGAAAAGAGAGGTGCGATGAGGGAGAAAAGAAGAGTGTGGAAATCATTTCTGTTTCGGAAAAGAAAAGACAGTGAAAAGAAGGCCTTACATTTTTTGCGATTCCAGGTAATAAATCATCAATCACCAATATGTAATTCTCATTATTTGGCCAAAGAATAAGAAGAAGAGGCAGCATGTTTGAGAGGCAGTTTGAGAACATGTGCACCACCTTCACCTGATCCAAGCCCTTCTTCATCATCCACAATGAAGACATCCTCAGGCACCCTCAGAGCTCCATGCACCAGAACAACCGTGAGGCCAATGGAGAGTCCGGCGACGATATGATATCTCGCATTGGTAAGGAAAAGTGCGACGACTGTGACCACCAACAGAGCCATCGTCACCACTCGTTCGTTGATTCGGTACCCTAGAATCATCAAGGGTTGGTCATGCAGGAAAAATAGAAAGAACCATGCAACCATCATGACAACGAAGACGATCAACGAAATAGGGTGCCATAGGAGGCTCAGGAAGAGGATGAACAATGTGATGATGGCATAGTTCATGCGATAGAAGGCGACGTTCGTCTTGATTCTGTGGATTGATTGGTTGAAGGTGGAGGGAAGGGTGAGATTTTGCAGTTGTATCATCTCCAGCCATGGTCTTCGGTTCTCTAGGCCTGTCTGGATCTGTTCTTTTGCGCGTGTGACGAAATGTTGGTTCGATGATGGCAGGGGTTCGGTCGTGATAGTCCCGTACGTTGTCATTGTCCGGTGGCGGAGATGGAGAGATGGAGAGAAGAATAGAATGGTATGGAGGTCTGTGGCAGAGACAGTGCCGAATGCGTGTAGCTTGGATATCTAATTTTGGGGGAGAAGTTTAGATCACTGATCACGTATCAGCTACGCGTTAGGTTGATGTTTAAGCAAGTTTTTTACGATCACATGATGTTTTTGTTACAAAATTATATAAGATGTTTTATTTATAACATCGGATGTACAAAAAATGGTTCAGCTAAAATGGACGGTGACGATTGTTCCATACACGGGAGACCTTTCAAATCGACAAAGAAGCCTAAACGGTTGACATTCATCAACAGAAACATGGCACAGAATAGTAGAAGCTCGTTTAACAATTTCTCCGACTCGTCTATGACTCACTGAGTGGCTGGGACTTCTCCTTGCTGCACCCTCCACGGTCCTCCGTAAAACTTTGGCTTCATAAGAGGCACGGCCTGCCCAGGATGTTCTTCCCAGTACTTTTCCTGCACAATACCAAAGGTGAAATTTTTATGCGATCTTCAAAACTTGACATGAGAAGATTTATCTCCATTGAATTTCGGATATATATGTCAACATGTAGATGTGTATTTACCGATTCACTGATATCTAAATGTCAAAAAGATATAAAGCTACTCAGCATAGATCTCCTAAAAGTAGATGAAGGGAGCTTGATAGGATTGAAGATCATCGTGTATAAACGAGCAAGTAACGAAGACAAGAGTAGTTATGTGAGATCAGCAGGCGCATTGAGAATTGTTGACAGAAATACTATGGCACCAGAAATATGTAGGAATAATTTCCAAAACATGAATTAAAACTGGGGAGGAACAAAACTGGAAGGGTGAGATGGTTGCGTGGTAACCGTTGAATTTGAAATTCAAGTTGCAGCACCATTTGAACGATTGGCAGCCATCACTTGGTTTATTTGGCTGCAAGCGATTTGAATTAATGCAGAAAGATGTATCCCAAATTGGTACTTTTTGATGGTTATGTTATGGCCTTTGATCTTGTATGTGATTCAATCTAATGGCCATTATACGATTCATAAAATAAACAACTCTTCATTGAAGAGCTGTGACTGATATTTCCGAATGGGCATGACTCGTTTGAAGAGATACATCAATCTCTAGAAATAGAGATTGTTTCCAGCATATTTGGATATAACCAAGAAGTTCTATTTCTCCCTCTCGAATTCACAAGTCTCCATTATTATTATTTTCATACAAAAACCTAGAAACTAATAACCTGCATAATTAGTTTCTAGAATCCTTGAGTTTCTTGTAAGTCTTCTATCGGTGTTGGGTTGTAAGTGCAAGATGCAGATCAACAATAGGAAGATGCTAGGCTTCATTGTATCCACAGGCTCATTCGCATACTCCCCTCTGCACACTAGATGTGGGGGCGAATAGAGTCTGAAAGATAGCATATTTATATGCGTCTTGAAGCAACCGTTCATCCTTCATCATAACCATAACCCATATGTTCTAAAAATTTCTCCAACAAAATGTGAGCTACAGACAGTAGAAATGAGACCCTATGACTTGCCCATCACTCAATAGATCCGAAAAGTAAATCAAATGGGCATCTTGGGATCGAACAGAAAGAAAACCCAAACATGGCTTGATGACAAACACGAGAAATTTCCTCCTTCAGGCCAGAACTGGAAAATAGGCATCTTTTCCAAACCCTGTTACTCCACTACCCGTAATTAAAATTTAGAAACCAAAGCGAATCAGCTCTGTGATTAAAAGCCCGATGCCAACAACAATAATCTATCGATGCTGAAGTAAACTAGACCTACTGAACCAATCAAAAGTGTGAAGTCAATTAAGCATCAAATGCTACTCCTTTCATCTCCAAACCTGATGCCAGATCTCTGACACTCCTCTCAGCTGTACATAAAGTATAATCTCAAACAATGATATATATACCTTCAAGCAGAAGACACAATGCCATAAGGCATTCTATCAAATTACATCTCCTAAACGACACATAGTTCAAACAAACTCCACAAGTTTACAGATTTATCAGCAAATTGATTTCAGTCCAATAAAAGCTTCAAGAAGAAACCGACCTTTCTTCGGTCCATGATAACTAAATCATAGACTTATCAGCACAGAGATCAATCAATAGGTTTCAAAATTTCAATAACATTTGAAGCTAAACAAGAAAATGGAAATTTTCTAACTTTCTATTCCTATAACTTAGGGCATCAAAACTAAAAACCAATATAAAAAATTTGGGTTTTGATCAACTAAATTAACCCAGAAAATTAACAATAATAACAATAAATACAAGCAAAAAAAAAGAAGAAAAAAAAAATTTGAAGACCCAAGTGAGTACCTTGTAAAGCTGCTCAGTGATAGCAGAACCAATGACCCCGGTGTAGAAAGCGGCGACGTAGATGGTGACCAATGGGGTGAACGATTTGGGTCTGCTGTAGGGCTCCACCATGTTCCAAAGAATCATCCTTTCCCACTTGGTGTAAACGTAGTCTGCGTATTTCCTCCATAGATTGCTCGCCATTTCCACCTGATTTTATTGATCCGTTCGAATTTGGTGTTTTCGCAGTGTCGCTGCGAGAGGATATGTAATCTAGGGTTTCGGGTTTATTGGATTTTCTTTTCTTTTCCCGAGCTTTCTCGGCAGCCAAACGGACTATTTGAGTCGGCTGGAAAGGGTAAGCGCGGAGGAAGAGGGAAGACACGGTTGCGGTTGGAAGAGAGGGAAGCACGTGACAGGGACCAAAACATAATTGTAAAACGACAAGTCGTTTATCCTTTTTCTTCCCTTTTTATTGGACAGTCGGACTTTTTTACCCCCGGATGTTTTATGCTATACTTTGCAATGGAATAAGAATTCGAATTCGAGTGCAAAAGGAAAAACACATTACTATGGCCAACGAATTCACCGCCACTCAAGTCTAATATTAGACTATGTGGGGGTGTTTGTTTTCCCTCACTAAAGTTCACTGGACTAGACTGGACTAAGGGTTAGTCCAGTCCCGTGTTTGTTTCCCATAGGGCTTAGAGTTAATGAGACTAGCTCTCACTCGTCCCAACTAAAACAGGGCCTAGCCGGTCTTTGCTAAGCCCCCCAAAAACCATGGGATTTCTAATCCCGTCTCCAGAACTTGCATAGGACGATCGCATGCAGCAAGTCTTGTGAACTACAAATCTGCAAGAATGCTTCTGGGCGACTCTGTTTGCCAACCCATGTCTAGATCTAAAACACAGCCCTACCCACTACCTAAATCTCAACACCAAAATTCAAAAACATATATGCAAAACGATAACAACAACAATCCCAATAGCAAAATTCTTCCTTATTCCCGAATATTCCCAGAAAATTTCCAAATTTTTTTCCTTTGCCCCAAAATTTTTTGGAAAGAATGGATAGAGAAGGGGAGAGAGTAGCTTTGGGACAAAGAGAAATGGAGAGACAGAGAGGGAGGGGAGAGTAGCACGGGGGACGATTTGCAAGAAAAATGATTTGAAGGATGTTGTCTTGCAGGAAAGAAGATGGAGAAAAGAGGTGATGGGGAACGAAACTAAAGAGGAAGAAAAGGGAAGAACTCTCCAGAGAGAGCAGTGGAGTGTCTGGCTGTGTACTTCGGAAATAAAAAAGAAAAAGCTTGATTTAGTAATAAAATATTATTGAATTAATAATAAAATATTATTAAATGTGTATTATATAATATAATATTATAGTTATTAATTATCTTGTTTTTTAGTCCGACGCTGCACCAAACGCTTCACAAGCTAGTCTAGCTTAGTCTAGTCTAAGCCAGTCTAGTTTAGTCCCTGAAACTAATCCAGTCCGAGACAGTCTGGTGCAACAAACGCACCCTGTAAGTTCTAATCACATATCATTGAATTATTCAAGTAGTTTAGAGCCTTGCACCCGAGGTCCTCTGTTCGAGACTTCATCCCCCCAATATCGCTTGAAAAACGAAACCTGGTTGTAAACGAAAGAATCACTCATATCATATTATGAGCCTGGAATTTCTTTAACCACAGAAATTTCAATTACATATAAATGAAATCCAGAACAAGAATGGAAAAGAATGTGGCAGAATAGCAACTTGTGCTTTTGGGTTCTTTAACATAAATATACAGAATACAGGTAGAAAGCTTAAGCTGACTATCGATGGGTTTGATACTATGGACCGGTTTTCTTTACTACAATTGCTTGAGTCGAAGAAATTCTACGATGAGGCAGATTCTAAGGGCTTGTCCTTCGGAGCTGAGGATGGTTCCCATATAAGATCTCCAACTCCCTTCGGAGGGCCAATGCTGCAACGATCTGTGTTGTGTAATGCTATAGCATCCTTTAACTTCTGTAACTGCATAAGGTTATGAACACAATCAGGTAGTACTAAAACTTGGCCATCCACACTACCCGCATGACAAATAGAGTTAACAAGAAGATAACGGAAGATGATTGTTCTCAACAGTATGACAATCGAGTTTACTATAATCAACATAATCCTAATTTATTCAGCTATACTAATCGGAGTTGGAGTGCTAAGCCAATGATGATTCTGAGATTTGAAAACTAGGTGCTTCAGCCGGTATAAACGGTTTTTTAGGATGGAAAAGATAAGAGAGACTAATAAACATAGGATTCAACGTACTGTTTTACCCATCTTCCCGGTATCTAACTGATAAAAACAAAGTTCAATAACTACCTTTGCAAGTGAACATGAAAAAGATTCAAGCTGTCCCTCAGATCCACGATAGAAGTGGAAATAGGGAAGCACCTTCACATTCATACTTTTGCACATTGGTTTGTTCTCGTCAAAGTTCACTTTCAGGAATAAAATCTCAGGGTGGTCTTCAGCTGTTCTGCAGAGCTGACACATGTATTAAACAATAATGTCAGGAACATAGCACCTCAACCATACAAAAACAAATTTGAAACAGTGTAACACATTTAACGTCATTTAAGTTTCTATTGAAGGGTGTTAGTTTCCAGGACATTCT